CCCTACTCTCTTCCTCCCTGTCTCATGTCTTTCCTGGGTACTCCTTTCTCTCCCTCCTCCCCCCTACTCCTCTTCCTCCCTGTCCTCATGTCTTTCCTGGGTCTCCTTCTCTCCCTCCCCTACTCTCTTCCTCCCTGTCTCATGTCTTTCCTGGGTACTCCTTCTCTCCCTCCCCCTACTCCTCCTTCCTCCCTGTCTCATGTTCTTTCCTGGGTACTCCTTTCTCCCTCCCCCCCTCCTCCTCCTCCCTGTCTCAATGTCTTTCCTGGGTACTCCTTTCTCTCCCTCCCCCTAACTCCTCTTCCTCCTGTCTCATGTCTTTCCTAGGTACTCCTTTCTCTCCTCCCCCTAACTCCTCTTCCTCCCTGTCCATGTCTTTCCTGGTACTCCTTTCTCTCCCTCCCCTCTACTCCTCTCCTCCTGTCTCATGTCTTTCCTGGTACTCCTTCTCTCCCTCCCCCTACTCCTCTTCCTCCCTGTCTCATGTCTTTCCTGGGTACTCCTTTCTCTCCCTCCCCCCTACTCCTCTCTCCTGTCTCATGTCTTTCCTGGGTACTCCTTTCTCCCCTCCCCCTACTCCTCCTCCCTCCCTGTCTCAGTGTCTTTCCTGGGTACTCCTTCTCTCCTCCCCCTACTCCTCTTCCTCCTGTCTCATGTCTTTCCTGGGTACTCCTTTCTCTCCTCCCCCTACTCCTCTCCTCCCTGTCTCATGTCTTTCCTGGGTACTCCTTTCTCTCCCTCCCCTACTCCTCTTCTCCCTGTCTCATGTCTTTCCTGGTACTCCTTTCTCCTCCCTCCCCCTACTCCTCTTCCTCCCTGTCTCATGGTCTTTCCTAGGTACTCCTTTCTCTCCCTCCTCCCCCTACTCCTCTTCCTCCCTGTCTCATGTCTTTCCTGGGTACTCCTTTCTCTCCCTCCCCCTACTCCCTTCTCCCTGTCTCATCTTTCCTGGGTACTCCTTTCTCTCCCTCCTCCCCCTACTCCTCTTCCTCCCTGTCTCATGTCTTTCCTGGGTACTCCTTTCTCTCCCTCCCCCTACTCCTCTTCCTCCCTGTCTCATGTCTTTTCCTAGGTACCCTTTCTCTCCCTCCTCCCCCCCTCTACTCCTCTTCCTCCCTGTCTCATGTCTTCCTGGGTACTCCTTTTCTCTCCCTCCCCCTACTCCTCTTCCTCCCCTGTCTCATGTCTTTCCTGGGTACTCCTTTCTCTCCCTCCCCCTACTCTCTTCCTCCTGTCTCATGTTTTCCCGTACTCCTTTCCTCTCCTCCCCTACTCCTCTTCCTCCCTGTCCTCATGTCTTTCCTGGGTACTCCTTCTCTCCCTCCCCCTACTCCTCTTTCCTCCCTGTCTTCATGTCTTTCCTGGGTACTCCTTTCTCTCCCTCCCCTACTCCTCTTCCTCTCCCTGTCTCATGTCTTTCCTGGGTACTCCTTTCTCTCCCTCCCCTACTCCTCTTCCTCCCTGTCTCAGTCTTTCCTGGGTACTCCTTTTCTCCCCTCCCCTACTCCTCTTCCTCCCTGTCTCAGGTCTTTCCTGGGTACTCCTTTCTCTCTCCTCCTCCCCCCTACTCCTCTTCCTCCCTGTCTCAGGTCTTTCCTGGGGTACTCCTTTCTCTCCCTCCCCCTACGCCTCTCCTCCCTGTCTCATGTATTTCCTGGTACTCCTTCTCTCCCTCCCCTACTCTCTTCCTCCTGTCTCATGTCTTTCCTGGGGGTACTCCTTTCTCTCCCTCCCCCTACTCCTCTTCTCCCTGTCTCAGTCTTTCCTGGTACTCCTTTCTCCCTCCCTCCCCCTACTCCTCTTCCTCCTGTCTCATGTCTTTCCTGGGTACTCCTTTCTCTCCTCTCCCCTACTCCTCTTCCTCCCTGTCTCATTCTTTCCTGGGTACTCCTTCTCTCCCCCCTCCCCCTACTCTCTTCCTCCTGTCTCATGTCTTCCTGGGTATCTTTCTCTCCCTCCCCCTACTACTCTTCCCTTCTCCTCCTTCCCCTCCCTCTCCCTGTCCCCCTCCTCTTCCTCCCTTCCCTCGGGTCTTTCCTACTCCTTTGTCTCCCTCTCCTCCCCCCTTCCTCTTCCTCCCTGTCTCATGTCTTTTTCCTGGGTACTCCTTTCTCTCCCTCCCCCTACTCCTCTTCCTCCCTGTCTCATGTTTTCCTGGGGGTACTCCTTTCCTCTCCCTCCCCTCCCCCTACTTCCTCTGTTCCTCCCTGTCTCATGTCTTTCCTGGGTACTCCTTTCTCTCCCTCCCTCCCCTATCCTCTTCCTCCCTGGTCTCCATGTCTTTCCTGGGTACTCCTTTCTCTCTCCCTCCCCCTACTCCTCTTCCTCTCTGTCTCATGTCTTTCCTAGGTACTCCTTTCTCTCCCTCCCCCCTACTCCTCTACTCCTCCCTGTCTCAGATGTTCTTTCCTAGGGCGTACTCCTTTCTCTCCCTCCCCCCCCTACTCCTCTGTCCTCCCTGTCTCATGTCTTTCCTGGGTACTCCTTTCTCTCCCTCTTACTTCCTCCTGTCTCCCCGTACTCCTTCTCTCCTCCCCCTTCCTCTTCCTCCCTGTCTCATGTCTTTCCTGGGTACTCCTTTCTCCCTCCCCCCCTACTCCTCTTCCTCCCTGTCTTCATGTCTTTCCTGGTATCCTTTCCTCTCCCTCCCCCTACTCCTCTTTTCCTCCCTGTCTCATGGTCTTTCCATGGGTACTCCTTTTCTCTCCCTCCTCCCCCCTACTCCTCTTCCTCCCTGTCTCATGTCTTTCCTGGGTACTCCTTTCTCTCCCTCCCCCTACTCCTCTTCCTCCCTGTCTCATGTCTCTCTGTGGTAACTTCCTTCTCTCCCTCCTCCCCTACTCCCCTATCCCTCCTCCTCACTGTTCAATCCCTTCTATTCTCCTCTCCTTACTGAGTTCTCTTTCCCTTCTCCTCCTTCTCTCCTTCCTATTTCTCATTCCCTTCTATTCTCCTCTCTCTACCGAGTTCTCTTTCCCCTCTGCTTCCCCTTCTCTAATTAATTATATTTTCCCTATCTCCCCCCACCCTCTAGTTCTCTTTCATTTATCGTCCTTCTTCCCATTTCTCCTTCCCCTTTTCCAGTTCTCTTTTCTCTCTTCTCTCTCCTCTCTAGTTCTCTTTTATCTATCTCTTTCTTCCCCATTTCTCTTTCCCCCAATTCCCCTTCTCCAGTTTTATTCTCCTCTCTCTACCGAGTTCTCTTTCCCATCTGTTTCCCCTTCTCTAATTCTCTTTTCTCTCTTCTCTCCCCCCTCTAATTCTCTTTTACCTATCATCCTTCTTCCCCATTTCTCTTTCCTCTCATCTCCCTTTCTCTAGTTTTCTTCCCTCTCTTCCTAGGTCATTTTCTCCTCTCCTCTTACCAAGTTCTTTTTCCTTCCTCCCCAGTTCTCTTTCTCCTCTCCTCTTTCTCCCACTTCCCTTCTTTCTTTTCCTTTCTTCTCTTATCCCTTTCTCTGGTCTTTCCTCTTTAATGGTCTCTGTTCCCTTCATGTCTTTTCGTCGACGCTCTTGCTTCCTAATCTCTGTTCTCCCTCTCTTCCTCCTTTTCTCTCTATTCCCCATTCCCCCTTTTTCTTCATATATCTCTTCTTCTCCCCACTTCTCGTCTATCTATTTCAGTGCTGCTTCTTTCTTATTCTTCATCCTCTCTTTATTATCCTCTACTTCTTCCTCTTTAGTTCCTCTCCCCCTCATCCCTCACTTTCTCTCTCCTCTTTCTCCTTTCTCTTTTCTCCCATAATCCTCACCCTTTTCCTCACCTCCTCCTTTTCCTTTCCTCCTATATCTACCACTTCTCTCCTCCTCCTGTTCTCCTCTCTCCTCTCCATCTCTACTCTTCTCTTATTCCTTCCTCCTCCTCCTCTCCTACGCCGCTCCCACCCTTTTTCCCTCTTCTTCTCCCTCCTCTTCCTCTCTCATCCCGTCTACTTCCCCTTCCTTCGTTCCTCTCCGCTTCCTCCTTATCCCCTTCTCCTTGCCTCTCTCTTACGCCGCTCCCACCCTTTTTCCCTCTTCATCCGGTCTACTTCCCCTTCCTTCGTTCCTCTCCGCTTCCTCCTTATCCCCTTCTCCTCTCGAACTTCGCCTCAGACTTCGCGAACCACAAGGGAACTCTGTCTCCTCAGCTGATGCTAAGGAAACTAAATGCCGTTTGTTTTAGTCTACTGCGCCAGTGTTCGGCGTGTGCTGGCTGTTAGGGACTAATTAAGTTGACATGCGAGACAGCGTATGTACTGTAAACACACAAACACACACATACGCATAGACGTTGTGTGTGTGTGTAAAGTCTCTCTCGTTCTCTCTCTCTCTTTCTCTGTATGTGCTACACACACACACACACACACACACACAATAAATGAGACAACACTTTATGTGTGTGTGTGTTCGTGTGTGTATGTGTATTCAGATACATATACATATTTATGGATAGTCAGATAGATAAATAAGTACAAATGTATATATACATATATACATACATACATACATACACCACACACACACACAACACACACAACACACACACACACACACACACACACACACACTACATATATATACATATATTATATATATATATATATAATATATATATATAATATATATTATATATATATATATATATATATATATATATATGTAAGTATGCATTACAAATACGTATATAAAGGTAGTCAGATATATCGAAAGATGAAAAAATACACCTACAGACATACTTGGTCCGCCAGGCTATTTGAATATCGCAGAATACCAGCAGGAAAATAAAGTAAAAATGATTTATTCATGGACACGTTGCAGTTATGTGATTTGCCGGAATACAAGGCATGGGAGCAACATCACGTCCTGCATGACTGCGCCAATACACCAAGAAAAGAGCAGAAATGTTTCCTCGACAGTCTTCCGTCTCCTTGCAAACGACGGGAGAATTGAGGATTTCCGAACGCTAAAACTCTACGGAAGTCGCACGCCGGATTTCACTATTCCCCCCCCCCCCAATC